ATTTGTAATTTTTTAAAATGATAATTTTCTGATAAATAAAACTTCAAAATAACAGCATTAATTTAAAACATGCACCTTTTAATACAAAAATAAATCTCTTTGTCACAATGGCATTAATATATGCTCACACTTGGCTTTAATACTATTAAAAATCACAGGTGTAATATGTAAATCCTTGCCTATATTCTCAGACAGTGATTTATATTTTATAAATTGCTCAAATATTTGTTGAAGCGATACTACAAGTCCAGAGACTGTAGTTTACGTCATGCTTTAGTAAAGTTTGTGCTTTAATGTATGATATTGAAATATAGTTGTAATAAGCTGAATACATATGTATAAGAAAGGTTTTTCCATTTATTTCTTTATCTAAATTAACAAGCATATTATAATGGAGTTAAAGAAACTGAAAAACTGAATTTAGGGGAAAAAAATGGTATTTGAGAGAAAAAAATAAAGCGGATTTGATGTGGCTCAGTCTGCTGGGGGAGGGGAAGGGGATTACACTGGAAAAAAGTGGGGGTTGAGGAGATGAAGATGAAGAAAAAGAGGAGACGAGATGCTTCAAAGAGTAAAGAAGAAGAGAAGAAACCTGAGCAGAGGGAGAGGAAGAGAAATGGAGAGGCGTAGAGAGAGAGAGAGAGATGCATGAATGTAAAGAGAGAGTGGGAAGTGTAGGAAGGAGTTCAGTGGGTTCATTGCTCTTCCATAAGCCAACATGCAGATCACAGTTTGTGGATGATGCTCTCGGCTCTTATGCATCCATTACAGAGCCATTGTCTTATCACCGATGCGGGGTCATTTGCATAATATACTGACTGAGGGTTACATGCAGAAATGTACACTTGAGCTCTTTCTGTTTATGCCAGACTGTGTGTTTTGTGTTAAATGTTTTCTACAAAAAGAGAGAGATTAAGATAGATGCACAAAGATGCATATAGGGAGTTAATCGATGGCTAATGTTAACATTGTAAATTTAGCTTTGGTGAGAAAATAAAAGGTTGGTTTGGGGTCAGATTTTGGTAGTTTTTGAATTGTGATAATGATGGTTTAAGAACTCGCATGCTTCAACAAAATGAAAAATTACTGATGATGGTTTTTAAAGATGATGATTTTTTTTTTAAGTATCAGCCTTGAAATTGTGTATATATATATATATAAACACACAGAATTTTTCATATATAATACAATATAAGTGCATGATAATATTATATTATAATCTATAACAGCATAGTCAAATGTGTATTTAATTTTGTTTTGTTTTATCTTATTAAGTTATATTATATGAATAAATGTTCAAATTTATAAAAAATAAGTGCTAAATTATTATTATTATTAATAATAATAATAATATTGGTATTATTTAATAATAATGAAGTAATATTAATAATTATTATTGTTTATTGTTTAGTAATTATTATTTTATCAATGTATAATGATAATAATAATAAAAAAATGTATAATACTAAAATAATAATATTAATAATAATAAAAAATTTATAATAATTATTATGATAATTATTATTATTATTATTATTATTAGTAGTAGTTGTAACCAAAAATATTTACTTTATTTTATTTTATTTCATTTTATTGTTTAACATTTATAAAAACAATAATATATATATATATATATATATATATATATATATATATATATATATATATATATATAAATGTTTAATAATAACAACAACAACAACAATTAGTATTACTAACAATCCAAAGTGTTTATTTATTTTACTGTTTATCATTTATAACAAATAATTGAATGAATGAATTTTATTTTTTCAAAAATAACAGTACTATAATAATAGTAATAATAATAATATAGAGTAAAATAAGATTGTATATTAATAAATGTATCCAAATAAAAAGAACAGTGCTATGATAATAATAATAATAATAATAACAATAATAATAATAATAATAATAATAATAATAATAATAATAATAATTGATACTAATAATAATTATACTAAGTTTTTTCTATTTTTGTATGTACAGTTCACAGTCACCAGAAAGCCTTTAATACATTTGGTGTGCTCCTGTGTTTAATTGAGTGTCTGCAGGAAAGAGCTGCTCCTCTAAATGGACTCTTACATTATAGCAGTAGAGTTTGACCATCAACTAAAGCTCCAGCTCTGAGTGAATATGGGCAATGGCACGACTTTGCTTTTTTCCATATCTCAGCTCTGATAATGTTACTAGCCCTCTGTCGTCCTGCCTGGTAATGAAAATAACCCCACAGGTTAGTCCTTTATTACTTTTTTAATATCAAAGCAATATAGATTTACTGGAGATAACGTAGAGGACGCCCCCCATAAGACTGAAGCTGAGATTATTAAGCACACTTCTCTGGTAATAAATTAATGATGGGAGATATGGAATTAGGATCTGGCTTTTTTCAGTTTAGGGTTCTAGTCACAGCCATTTCAATCGCTGCTAAAATCCCATTGCACTGTATAGATAAGAGCATAAAATACAGTTGAATTATAAGCTCTCCTGAATTATTAGCCCTCCTCTATATCCCCCCCCCCCAATTTATATTTAATGAAAAATGTTTTTTTTAACACATTTTTAAACATGTTTTGTAGACGATAGACAAAATTTCTTTAAGTAGGCTAATAATATTGACCTTAAAATTAAAAACTGCTTTTATTCTAGCCAAATTAACAAGACGTTCTCCAGAAGAAAAAAATATTTTAGGAAATACTGTGATACTTTGTATACTTTGTTAAACATAATATGGTAAATATTTCATAAAGAAAAGAAATTCAAAGGAGGGTTATTTATTTATTTATTTATTTATTTATTCATTCATTCCTTTATTTATGTATTCATTTATTTATTCACTTATTCGTTTATTTATTTATTCATTTATTTATCTATTTATTTATTTATTTATTTATTTATTTATTGTTAAATAAGTTTTATATATTCATTGAATAGACTTACAATAATCACAAATTTCAGGATTAATTTTCTGATATGCATAAACATACAGAAATTAAATTAAAATTAAAATGAGCATAAATGAATATAGACACATACATACGGGAAAATTCATTAAATTAGTTATTATGTGCATGTTATTTTAAAATTGCTGCTTGCATGGAAATCATGTTACATTTTAGGATTCTTCCATGAATAGGACGTTCAGAATAAATGAATAAATTGAATGCATCTTCTTTGAACAAAAATGAATAAATAAAATAATACTTAACTGAATAAAAATGTACAATTAGATTTAAACCACCTCATGTTTTATTAAGATATAGATATATAGATTAAAATTAAATTAAACTACAAGTGAACGTATAAAAATTAATAGTATTATTTGTATCAATTGAGTAATAATGATTGCAAAACTGTAATGAGTAAAAAAGTTATTGTAATTAGATAATAAATTATATTTAATGTTTTTATTAATGTTGCAAATAATAAACTGTATTAGAAGGATGAACTTATACAAGTATTTTAAATTTTTGGATAAAACATTTTAAAGATTTTTAAATTTGCTTTTTTTTTTACTTTACTTTGTTTCATTTTCATTTGCTTTGCTTTGTTTTAAGCCTTCGTTTAATCAGGATGAGGTTCATTTTGACATTTAATTTATTTAGTTTTGTTTTGTTTTAACCTTTGTTTTAACCTTTGTTTAACCATGTTCTTAACAGTTCTTTTGCACTGTGACGTTTTTTTTCTTTTCTTTTCTTTTTTCTTTTATTTCTTTTCTCTTTTTTTTTTTTTTTTTTTTGCTTTGTTTTGTTTTGTTTTGCCCAGAAAATATATTTTTTTACAGGACTCCCCAGGTCAAAACTAAAAACCCATGTGCTAAGTAACATAGTTTGTTTTGTGAGGCTTTTTTTCTAATTTTATTTAGTGCAAACAAGAACAATTGTGCTTTTGCCTTTCTAGACTATGCAGTCATTTGTTGGAAATAAAGTATTATCAGCTGCTGCAGTAAATGTTCCCATTGTGTTTTAACTCATCCAGCAGGCCTGATGTGAACATATTTAAAGTCTTAAACTACTTTGATAAATCTTCAATGCTTTCTATATGAAAAGTAAAAAAAAAAAAAAAAAAGCGTAACATTTTTCTCAGTGCTTGTTGTTTTAAAGTCGCTGAAAAGGAAAAGACATCAGCAATTCTCACTTTGATCTGAGCCTGCGCCACTTCTGCTCTTCTTCTGGATTGCTGCTAATGGCTGTGCTGTTGTCTGAATGCGGCCGTAAAGAGACTCTAATCATCAGCTTGAGGATGTAACGCATTGTGCTCCTGTTTGTTTGATGCTCAACCCGCAATGAGTCATTGCAAAGTAATTTCTTGTTTTCACGAGTCCTGCCAAAGGAAATTTTTTTCTGTGGTTTTCTTTTTGAGGTAGACCCACTGTCCTTGTACTTTTACAACGGGGTCAGAGAAACATAAAATTAATCAGAGTGGAGGATTGACCCTTTCGCTAAAGATGCAGCCCATTGAGTCGAGATTTGTGGCCCTCCATGACCCACTGCAACAAGAGAGATGGGCCAACCCTGTTTAACGTGTGTGCGTGTGTGTGCGTGAGAGAGAGAGAATGTCCTGGTATTCATCACCTTGTCCCCACAATTGAAGCAAAACCAGTACTTTTTGACCTTGTGGGGACATGTTTTGGTCCCCATGAGGAAAAACGACTCATAAATCACACAGACTCAAACTTTAAAAATATAAAAAGGCTATTTGTTTCCTGTGTAAATTGGGTTAAGGAGTAGGAATGCATAATATATACAATCTGAACGGTATAAAAATCACAGTCAACGTCCCCATAAAACACAAAACCCCATTATGAGTGTAATCGCATGTGTGTCCTGGAATTCTTTACATTGTTCTCAACAAGCATAGCAATGATAGTTTGTTTTGACCTTGTGGGGACATGTGTTGGTCTCTATGAGGAAAATGTCTCATAAATTGTTTGTGTGTTTGTGATGATTGCTCATTCACCTCTGCTTGTCTTCATCACACAGGTAAAACAGGACACACAGAGGTGGTCCGGGTGGTCTTTGAGCCTCAGAAAATCAAATTTTCTGAGCTGCTCAAGGTGTTCTGGGAGAGCCACAATCCCACCCAAGGTAATGGTTTATTCATTCACAATAAAACAAAGAAAAACACCCAGTATAAAACACTTCCATCATAAACACACATAAAAAAGGTTTGGTATAAACTATTCACCTTTGAGGTCAAATAAAAATAGGCCATATGACATTATGTGCTGTATTTCTCAGTATCTATTATAGATCTGTGTCAGGAAGAGACAAAATTGATTATAATTTATATTATTCTTTATTTATTTTATTTATTATTAAACTAATTATATACTTTATTTATGAACATAATTTAAGTGTGTGTACTGTGTATATTTATTATTATAAATAGGGATGTCCAGATCTTATCACGTGATTGGAAATCGTGCCCGATCACTCGGCTTCAGACTCGATCAGAATCGGATGTTACCTCCTGATCAGGACAAGATGCCATTAAGACAGAGATCGAGAAATAAGTCATTTCTTGTTCTTGCTTTATCCACCAAATAATATTGATTTTACGTTTTAATCAATATGGCCTTTGACCTAAAAAAAAAAAAAATTCAGATGAGAATGCTATTGAAAGTCTATGAACAGGTGCACTTTGTGGCTGGGGTGTATGTCTGCGCTCTGGAGATATTATAAAGTTGATGACGGCAACATTACATATCTCACAGTTTGCTATGAAAAACTTGGGATTGCCTGCCGGGTATTTTAAGTTGAGGTGCTGTTTGTTTACTTATCCCGTCAACTTATCCAGCAAATTTTTTACACAGTGGATGCCCTTCCAGCTGCAACCCAGTACTGGAAAAATTTATGCACATATTTCGGAAATATTTTATATATAAATATATGGTCACACTTTACAAGAAGGTTCATTAGTTAATGTTAATTAATGCATTTACTAACATGAACAAACAATGAACAATACATCTACTACTGTATTTGTTCATGTTAATTAACGTTAGTTAATGAAAATACAGTAGTTCATTGTTAGTTCATGTTAAATCATGGTGCATTAACTAATGTTAACAAGCATGGACTTGGATGTTAATAATGCATTAGTAAATGTTCAATTATGATTAATAAATGCTGTACATGTGTTGTTCATGATTAGTTCATGTTAGTAAATGCAATAACTAATAAACCTTAAATATATATACATATATAATAAAAGTTAAGTTATATATGATAAAATTGTATATACCTATGTAACAGAATTGTTTTATATAGCTTTGTGTCTGTGTGTGTGTGTGTTTCACATATACATAATAAAAATGTACAATACACACACATATATTATGTCAAAGCAAACTTTTATTATGAATTCGATTAATCATAGCTGAGCACTATAGTTTTACTAAGTTTACTTTATAAGAATAGTGATGTTATCTACCAGTCAGAAATTAGCCAGTTTGTTGATTGATGTGATAAAAATAAGCTAAAAATAAATACTAAGAAAGCTGAAGAGATTGTATTTGCCCCAAAGTGTATTGGTGACCATCGTCAGTTGGTTGTACATGACCATCCTATTACTCAGTCAGAGACCTATAAGTACTGGGGCATTTACATTGACAGTTCTTTCACATGGAAAACACACATAGAATGGCTTTGTCCTCATTTTTATCAGAGATTGTATTTTTATGGAGGTTACATCTCTTTGGAGTTAACATGAAGCTTATGATTTTGTTTTATAAAGTTGCTCTTGAAAGCATTGTCCGGTATGGTATCACAGTGTGGTTTGGTAACCTATCTGTACGGTGTTAATCTAAGTAAATGCATCTCTTAAAGACAGGATGGAAAATTGTCAGGCATGAGGAATGATTTAATCCTCAAGTGTTATATGAGAATTCTGTTCTCAATCAGGTGGAAAAGATTCTGAATTATCCAACTCATTTTTTGTTTCCACATTATGAATTGATTCCCTCTGGTAGGAGATATAGAGTCTCTAAGTGTTGGTTGAACAGATATAAGAAATCCTTTGTAGCAGTAGGAGGATCACTTAACAAGAGTTAAGAGTTCCAATTTACTATGACTATGATTTATTTGAAGCTGCTTTGACACAATCCACATTGTAAATGCGATTTATGAATTGAATTGAATTAAGAGAATCTTAGCATAATAATTATAGTCTTCAGCAATATTGTGATGCCCATAACAAATTTCCTGTCAGAAAGAGTAAGTTTTTACTACTTATAATGCATAGTATAATAATGTAAATAATAAAATTATGTAAAATACTAAAATAAATAATTAAAATATAAAGTCAGCCAAAAATAAGAAACGTATTTTAGTTAATAAACTGAGAGAAATTTATTTGTATAAATGTGTGCGTATATATATATATATATATATATATATATATATATATATATATATATATATATATATATATATATATATATATATATAAACTATATTACTATATTAATTAATTAAATATTTAATTATGTCTAATTTTGTTTTCCTGTGTGGAAAAGACAAGAGGAGTGACTTATTTTATGTTTCACAAAAGAAAGCCAGTCCTACAAGTTTTGAAAATCGGTTATATATCATTTTTGGGGTTAACTTTCCGTTTAAGATTACATTTAGTTCAGTATTAGTCAAAGTTATTAGTTTTGTGTTTTTTGTTTAGTGATGCACAGTGGTAATTAAAAAACAGAGCTAAAGCTAAAAGGCTGTGCTTAAGGCAGTCTGAAGGTCCAGTGGCGTGAGAGAAGAGCGAGAGTCCCATCACGAATTCACTGAGCGCAGAGGCAACAGTTTGAGTGGCTGCAATCATGACCAGAGGATTCAGATCGCAGATTAAAGTGTCTCGGCCATCCAATCACATTCACACTCATTGAGATGGCCTGTATAATGGCCTGATTGTGTCTGTGCTGATGACTAACACTCCTCTCAGTCTCGTATATATGTTCACACTCAAATCAATATAGCTTCGCTTAAAGGGAAAAGTTCAACCAAAAATCTCACCATTTACTCTGTCTCAAGTGATTTCAAACCTTTATGAGTTTTCTTTCTCTGTTGAACACAAAATAAGTTGTTTTGAGGAATGTCGGAAACCTGTAACCATTGACATCCTTAGTAGGAGTGAAAATACTATGGAAGTCATCAGTTACAGTTTCCATTACCAAATTTAAATGTTAGGGAAATATATATAATAAAGATTTAAAATACAAAACTAAATTTTTTTTTTTACAATTTTGTTAAAATGTTGTATTTAGTTATTGTTTTTTGCAGTTTTTTGCATGAATTTAAATGTATTATCTTTTATTTGTAAAGATTTTCAGTGGCTAAAATATTATTTAATAAATATATCTGTTTAATAAATCTGTTTTGTTCAAATGCACCAAAATACAGCAGGAAAATAAGTATTGTGTACATAATAAGTAATAATATAATAGTAAAAGTAATAATATACCTAATGGAGCTGTTGACATGGAATTGAACGTGATTTTGGTAAAAACCCAAACCTAAACATAAAAATAAAACAAAAAAATAAAAATCTGAAAATGGGTTGTGTGTAATAATGAAATGACACAAGGAGAAAGTAATGACTAAAATGTATTTAATACTTATTATATATAAGTATATTTAATACTTATATAAAAGGCTTCTTTGGTGATGGCAGCTTAAAGATGCCTCACATGTGGACAAGGAAGACACATGAATTACTCCGGTGTGAGATTTTCACAGACTTTAACAGGGTGTAACAGTCTTGATAATTATGTGGGTTTCATCAATTAAATCTGTTTCTTTATTTTGTGTTTTATGGATTCAAGTCAGGGGATTGGTTGGGCCATTCTACAGCTTCATTTTTTTTTTCTTTGAAAGCATTTGAGAGTTTTCTTGGCTGTGTTTCATCTTCATCATCCTGCTAATGTAGATGTTGGACAGAAGCATTTATAATTATGAAGGGCAGAGGGTTGCTGTAGAAGTACAGAGAGATTTCAACTGGCTTTCACTGCCTTTCTGCACCTCCCTTTCTTCATGTGTTCAATACGTTTTCCCTGCGTCATTTCATTTTATTACACAACACAATTTGTAAGCTAATTAGATTTGTATTCTTTGCATATGTGGATTTATTTGGTTGTTATCAACATCAGGGGCAATTTCAAGTCAACTGCACCTTAAAAAATATGTTTTATGAGAAACAGTGATGTGTTAAATCCTTTTTTACCCTGCTGTATATTACCTATATTCACTTATAAAAAAAAAAAAAAAAATCATTTTCAAAAAGGGGTCTAGTCATTTATGCTGAGCACTGTAAATATATTTATTTATTTTGAGGAAAAGAAAAGAAACTCAAACAGTTGAGTTTGAGAAGTAAGACACTCAAACAGGTTTGGATTGTGCCTATACATACAAAAACACGTAGGAAACGATCATGTGTACATACAAACTTGTCTACACTGTAAAAAAAAAAAAATCCTGGTTGCCTTAAATTTTTAAATGGAATCAAATGAACCTTATGAGTCCACTGTATTTATATTGTTTTAAACAGCTTTTAGAACACATAAAATTAAGTCAGAACAAGATTAACTTAGTCTATTAGGTACAATGAACTAAAAACATATGTTGTCATGACTAATAGTTTCTATAATTTTTACAGTGTACATCTACAAAATGATATGTACAAACTCTTGCATCTAGAAGTGTTTTGTGCAAACATACAAACTCTTTTACATCTATGAAATTGTCACATACATAAAAACTCTTTGCAGCTGTCAACGAATCACTTGTTCGTAAACTTCACAGCCATATGATCACCTAATGAATCACAAATTACTCATCTTACCCATCCCTACACTGTAAATAAAATATCTGTTAATTAACAGTTTCAGTATTTTTTGTGATTCACTAATGTTTTTCATTTATTTATGGTTGTTAGTTGTATTATTACAGCTCTACAGTTTATCAAAGGGACATTTTAGTAGTTTGAAATAATATAAAGAGACAATGTAGAGAGAAATAAGTCTGTAAATGTACTGGCAGTTTATTACAACACTTTTGTACTATAATTTACAACACCAGTAATATACAACCAAGACAATACTGTATGTCACTTTAAACTATTAACAATGTTAATAAAAGTCACTTTATCTAACTTTTAAACATTGAAAGTTATGGGAAAAAGGATCAATGTCTCATAATACATTTAAATGAATAAAAACTTTATTCACAGGATATTTTTATGGTGTACTCATATCATGCTTGTGATGGAGGTTTGAATTGATCCACTAGTTTCTCCAATGTTTCATATAGGAGACAGGCTGGAAATTAGATAACCTTACAGTGTACAGTGGTTATGATGGCTGAACCATATGTGCAAAGACTATAGAAGGCCTTAAAGGGACTTTGATAGATGTGTTTAGTTTCCTGCATGTGCATCTGACCAATTGATCAGAGTAGACTCTAAAAAAATGAATATTCAGATCACCAATAATAAATGAGTTTAATGAAACCAACAACAAAAAAAAAGTATTTTTTGACCTTGGATGCATGCAAATCTTTTGCAGGAGACCTCCAAAATAAAATGAGGATAAAAAAATACTATTCAAGCCGTAAAATCTGAGATAAATCTCTCATAATATCTGGATCAAGAACAGAGCTTTAATTAAGAACTGAACTCTTCCCAGGATTTCTGATCTGGTTGATTGGGAGTTTGTTTCCCAAGAGTCTAAAGTACTAATAGAAGCTAATTTTGGACCCACAGAAGATGTACGCCTCTAATGATTACGTCATGCTTACTTGACTTACTTTACTTCTCAGATGTCTATTTTAAGTTTAACATTTATTATAAAGCAGTAGTTTACCCGTAAATGAAGAGTTTACAGTTTCTCTGTTTTAGTATTGGTATATACAGTTGAAGTCAGAATTATTAGCCCCCCTGTTTATTTTTTTTCCCTAAATTCTGTTTAACAGAGAGTTTTTTTTTTTCAACACATTGCTATTTATAACAGTTTTAATAACTCATTTACAATAACTGATTTATTTTATCTTTGCCATAATGACAGTAAATACTATTTTACTAGATGTTTTTCAAGACACTTCTGTACAGCTTAAAGTGACATTTAAAGGCTTTACTAGGTTAATTAGGTTAACTAGGCAGGATAGGGTAATTATAGGCAAGTTATTGTATAACAATGGTTTATTCTGTAGACTATTAAAATATATATATGTATATATATATATAGCTTAAAGAGGCTAATAATTTTTACCTTAAAATGGTTTTACTTTTTTTTTTTAAACTGCTTTTATTTTAGCCGAAATAAAAAATTGAAGAATAAGACTTTGTCCAAATGAAAAAATTATTATAGGAAATAATGTGAAAATTTCCTTACTCATAATTTGGGAAATATTTGTAAAACAAAACAAAATTCACCGGAGGACTTTTAATTCTGACTTTAACTGTGTACTGTATGTTTTTTTTGACAGGAATGCGTCAGGGCAATGATGTCGGGACAACTTATCGATCCAGCATCTACACAAACACACAGGAACAGCTGGAGCAGGCTCTGCAGTCCAGGGAAGAGTATCAGAAGGTATTTCATTTTCCCATCCATATACACACACACACAAAAACTGCTGCATGTTTTAAATGCTTATTTAAAATGAGCTGAAACAACTCAATTCCTGAGATTTTTGGATGACAACTTATTTGTTTTATGTTCAATCAACTTAAATTTGCTAAGTTAACTTAGTCGGGGGTTAACTTAATAATTTGTGTTGGGACGACATGAATTGTGTGGAACCCAACATTTTTTTTTACAGTGTTACAGTATAAAGACCAATCGAGTAACACATGAGCGATCTTTACTCTAACTCAACAGTTGTTTTACATTGTTTTGTTGAGGAAGGGGCACTTTTTTTTAATTTCTCATCATTGATGCTGTATTGATATATTGCTTGTTAATTATAATCAAAATGGTACTGTTATTTATATATACGACTTTTTTAAATATTTCCCAAGAGATGTTCAATATAGAGAAGCTTTTCAGCATATTTTACACACATTGGGTTTATTAACCTTTTTTAATGAATAATATGGGCGATCTGGTGGCGCAGTGGGTAGCGTTGTCGCCTCACAGAAAGAATGTTGCTGGTTCGAGACTTGGCTAGATCAGCTGACATTTCTGTGTGGAGGTTGCATGTTCTCTCCGCGTTCGCATGGGTTTTCCCCACAGTCTAAAGACTTGTGGTATAGGTGAATGGGTTGCGGCTGGAAGGGCATCCACTGAGTAAAGCATATGCTGAATAAGTTGGCAGTTCATTCCACTGTGGTGAACCCAGATTAATGAAGGGACTAAGCCGAAAAGAAAATGAATGAACGAATAATGAGTCATTTTTGTCTTTGCTGTGATGACAGTATTTTACTAGTTATTTAACAATACTAATATTATATATACAGCTTAAAGTGCAGTTTAAAGGCTTCAAGTCAATAGACAACAGTGGTTTGTTTTGTCTGCAGCCAATAATAAAAAAAATCTTTAGAGATTTATGAATATTGACCTTAAAATAAGTTTCTAGAAAATGTAAAAACTAAACCAAACTAAAAGAAAAGAGACTTTCTCTTGGACAAATATATTTTATTACTATACAAATGTCCTTGCTCTAGTAAACACCACTTAGGGAATGTTTGAAAAAAAGAGTTCACAAATGAGTGAATAATTTTGCCTTCAACCGTGTCTATTGTAAGGGTTGGTTCTTTTTTTCTCAAAATGTGGAGCATTTTGCAGTTATTCGAGGTTCAAATACAGCATTTTGTTACATTTTAAGCACTAATTTGTGCTAGATTAGCTTGTCGGGTGGTTATCACTACCACACATTTTGATGCAACAAAAATATTTGCATCATCATACTAACTTTTGTTTACAAAAAAATTGTATTTGCAAATCTGCATTAAAACTGTTAATTATTATAGTTTTCTATATAATGCAATGAAATTAGAATTGTAGAAATATGAAAAAATGCAAATTTATTATCCTCCATCTTAAAAACAAACACACAACTACAAAAAAGTGGGAATCTGGTAAAACTTTTAGCCTTTGGGTAAATAACAAACTGGCCAGCTCATTTCCTCAGTCAGAATTTGTCTATTTAAATAACAAAAGCCTTCTTTTATAGGTTATTGTATTGGTTACACTTCTTAAGGCCTTCCTGTATTGGTTATTTTCACAATTTATCATGGCATATGCTGTCAAAAACGGGACAAATGAGCTCATACAGGGGCCAAATTCTGGACCTTGTCAGAAGAAGGGTTGGTCTTTTGAACCATCCAAACCCCCCTAGTTACGGGTCTGTACTGTGTATTTATATTTTTTAATTTCACATAGAATTAAATGCATTTGTCTGATGCTAATACTCCCATTAGTGAAAATATTATTTAAAAACAATAATAATAACGATGACTATTTATTAAATTGAGATTTGTTTTTGTTTAGGATTATACAGTACTAATGTGATAATGTTTTGAATGGCATTTTAAGATAAGGTTTATTTTGTTTTCCCTAATGTCCACAACCCTGCCAGAATAAACCTGCCACAGAATCGCTGATAAACCCTTGCTATAGAAAAGAAAAGCTTTTCTGCTTTCTCCTCATCTGCTGGAATTCTAACATCACTATCTACAGTGTTTGATAACCTGCGTATCCCCAGCTGATGAAACAGCTTTTCTGCAAAGCAGGGAATCACATGCAATAGTAATTCTGTTTGTCTGAGAGAAGAGAGAGATTTCAAATCTGCATATAAGGAGGTTCAAAGCCCGCTGAGCGTGAGCGCTGCCATCTGCATTATGCATATATTTTTTTTCTAATTGCAGAACGCCTATATTGTAGAGCTGAAAATTGAGGTTTCTTGGTCTCGATGGTGCAATGCATTACAAACCTGCATGCGGTTCATGTGAACAACCCCACCCTTTCTGTCCAAGCCCAGCTCTGCATGGCTGAACAATAGAGCAGGCAGAGGAACCCACTGTGGTCCTTCTCATTTCTCCTCCCCCTGCCCTTGTGGAGGATCACACGTGTGGTTTTCTATAGTGGTGCATCCCAAAGAGACACAAAATTATGCACTTTTACCTTTGCTGTTCACTGCTGGTGAGATGATCTGCCCAATTCAACACAAGCATTTGCAAGAAAATTTTTTTCCATCAAAATGAATTGTCAGACACTCTTAATTATTTATTTATTATTTTGTTTTGTTCAGTTTTTCTTCTGTTTCATGCAAGTTTTGACCACTAGTAATAGCATTTACTTGTTATTGCTCTTTTGTTGATTTTAATGGCTGAATTTTGTAGTTAAATTAAGCTGTCAGCTGAGTGGTTAACCATTTTTTTAATATTGTCTGAACTCTGAAGATTCAGATATTTTTTGTCGACAATCTTGCGCACGCAGAATTCTGCAGATTTCCACAGATTTTTACCCCATCAATAATTCTGTTTATCCCATTTACTTAAGTAAATGTGTGTAAATCTATATTTATTCAGTTTTTTTAAATTAATTTCAGTAATATTATTGACTAATGTGAAAATGTTCATCTAATTTATGTGCAATGCAGTTTGTACAGTAATATTTTCTGTCTTTTGATATATGAAAAACTTGATTTATTATAAAGATATTATTTTTTATTTCATATATTAAGGTTTTAGGTATGATACTCCCAAAATAATTCAGCAGAAATCCACTGATTTATACCAAACTTCTCAGCAGAAATTGCAAAAAATGTCCGCAGATTCTGCCTGGCCCTAGTTATTGGGCAGGTTTGGTGATATTGGTTAAGGTGTAAGGGATGGTCAACAGTATAATTATAAATGTAATTACAGAAATTAATAACAATGTAATTACACATATGTATCTAAGGACAATGTAAAAACATGTATTTACACAATAAGTACTTTTTAACAAATAGATTGTTTTATAATAAAGGGTCATGCAGCCCCCTTGTTTCAGCATGGTGATTTCACACCTGTATTTTGAAAAAAGTCAGGAAAGTGGGATGGGTCCAGCTTTACTTAGGTGGGAGTGTCAAATGGTGAAAGAGGGCAGGGTTTGCATGAAAAGGGGAGTTTCAGTACAAGCACTACAGCTGATTTTCTCAGCGGCAACACAAACACAGACACAGTAGAGATAGACAGTAATTTGGGGAGCAGCATTTACAGCGGATCTGAGAGCTATGTGAATGTGGAGGATTTTCAGTACATTAATATTGAAGTGATATTACTGTAAACTTAGCAACTACATAAATTTGACTAAGGTATGTCTTTAAAAACTGAACGAGTATTGCTGAAGATACTAACTTTGCCTCTGAATAAACATAAACAAAGAACACTGATCACGCACTTACCAAAACTGTAGAGACAGGACAATCAACACAAACTCGAACCAATGTGTTTTGATGTTTCGTGACCCTTTAAGGCTACTTAAAATGGGACCAACATTTGATCTGCTACATTTATTCATATTTATTGAAAATTACTTTGATCCTTCTTTTCTCTTTTCTATTTCTATTCTGTTTTTCCATCAAATTAATTTGACATCATTTACAGTAGCTCTTTTTTAATCAGTTGCTACTCTATTCTCCACATTTATAACTAGCTTTGGATACAATGTTCTGCCAAACAAATAATTGATTAAATAATATTGTTCTAGTGTTTTGGGGGCTGTTTCCTTTCCATCCTCTCTGATACTGAACGATCAGCCATGTGCTCTTATAAGGGCAGCGTTCGATCAGTGTCCAGATTACGCTAGTGTGACGTTGAACACATATGAAATAACCTTGACTGTCTCTTCATGCGGTGTCTCTGTCATGCTCAGTTCACACATCAACATCAGATGCAGACTGCAGCACTCTCTTCTACATTAGAAGAGCTGAATGAACAGCTCAGTCGATCCCCGCTCCATTTTGAGCCGATTCTGAATACAATATTCAAGATCTTTTCACGCAACGTGGTGCGCTTGGTTTCTCAGCGACTGATTGTTGAGGAAGTGTTGATCTGACTGGTGCTGATGCCCACAGACACACTCACAGAAGTACTCGCTTTTTACACTCTTAAAGGTAATTTTAGAAGTGCATTCTGATGTTTTGTTTAGGGAAGAAAAAAACATTGATGGCAAGTTCAAGATTTGGACATCAGCATCATAGATTTAACCATTAAGGATTGTGTTTGGCAGGCCATTAATTCAGGCCATTTAGTTCAGATTCTTTTTTTGTTCAGTTTGAATTTATTTGTCTATTTTAATGTAATGATTATATATTAATTACATTTTTACGAAATATGATATGAAGATGCAAAAACCTCTAAGTGCAATTAAAAAAAGTAAAATTAGCATCTCTTTCAGGCTTTTATGTGTAGTTTCAGTAATTTGTGTAATTAACTAATTTATTTTTAAATAATTTTCTATTATTTTAATTAATTTACTTGTTTTAATATGACATTCATTGAGTATAAATATTATCAAAAAATTATAAATAAATATTTATGTTTGTTTGTATATTTTTACTCATGTTTTAGCTACTTTTATATTATTAAATATGTTATTTCTGAATT